TGGTAATGAAGGTATTAAACGTTGAAGTTTTATCATCAGAATTTAATTTAATTAATAAATATTCAAGAATAGCTTTTTGATTAAGTTATTGACGATAGATTTTATCGATGTTTTTCTAATAATTGACGTTATATTAGGAATTGTTTTATATGGATCGTTGATCGGATTGAATAGATTGAACATAATTAATTTGCTTAGCAGTAAAAATAAAATAAAATTTACAATATTTCCAATAACTAGATGAATTACATAAAAATGGATGATGTTCATCATTATTTATTGATCGACATTTATGACACTAGAGATTAAAAAAAATGAATTTTCATTATAGAATTGTTGAGCAATAAAAATGCTGAATAAAAACGAAAATTTGTTCAAGATACGGAAGGAGTCATTCGCTTGTGACATCGTTCTATATATATCTTAAGAATTTTTGTTTTCGATTTCATTAGATCCTATTCTGATACTAAGGTAACACCAATATTTGAAATCCGTCGTATTTAATAATGATTCATCCGAGGAGTAGAACCTATCAAATTTAATATAGCCTAGTTAAGTCTATCATTGATTGAGACAGTTATTTGGTAATGGTTTGGCGAATGCACCCTCAAATCCGTAACTACATATTATCAATCGGGTGTCCTATGAAAAAGAGAATTCTCCGTATTTTAATGATATTTCTTTTAATTCTTTATAAAATGGTTTATTTGTTTTTATTAATGTAAATAAGATCTGTCATTTTCAAAGGCATGTAGATCGACGTACGGAATTTCACATCCATCAACTAGATAAGAGTGAAATGAAAATAATTTTCTCTCTATCAACATCAACAAGCATTAGTTATCGAATAGTCTAGATTTAAATAGATCGAATCTTATAGAGAAATAAAAATGTCAATTTATTCAAACAAAATAATAAGTCTGAATAAACGAATACTAAAAGACATATCATTATAACACTGATCGATTTTTATTCGATGAGACACTTAATACATATAACAATCTTCCATTATCGTACTGTGATAGACGATCTAAATCTACTATTGAAATATACAGACAGAACTTCGAACCTTTCCGTCTCACAGGTGATAAAAGATATTCTCCACTGTTGCCATTTCCCTTTTCTCATCGACCATAACAGACAAACTCGCAACATTAAAAAAGAGTCTGTCGGGTTGGATCCGGACTCGGATTGGAAAATTATGAACCCGATGGGCCGAAATCTAGTGCAGGATTATAGTAAAAGAGTTGAATTAAAGATAACTATCTATTATCCCTGATTAAGATTGCTTCTACTCGAAATCTATATCAGTCAATTTCTTTCTCAGTAACTTCATTAGATTTTAATCTTGTAGAAATTATGCGAACAGATTCGTTTTTTTTCTTGTTTCTATTCGAACCTGAAAAAGATTTTCATGACAATTAGGATAAATGTCAGGTGTTGCTGGAACAGGTGAATGTCCATATTGGACATTGTAATCTTGTTCTATCTGTAACTGTTGTTAAATAAGATGTTGCTCTTTCAAAACAAATCAACATATTCAATTATTAAATAAGAAGTAATAATTGGTATAATTAAATCAATTTTAACTTTTCTTTATTCTATATTTGTTAATTTAATTCTTTTAGCTAATGACCATTTAGAATTTTAATTATTTTGTTAAATAAACTATTGATTCTACATTAAGATTATTATTATAAAAAGGTTTTGTACGTAGAGGTTTATTAGATTTTATTTCCGACATATAAATATGTTATTTTTCTATTGAATATGCTTGAATTAATTAAACAATATGTGATTGTATTGTATAAGGTTGATAAAGTTGAATTGCTTGTTATTTAACGTTGTTGATATCGTATATGAGGATTATTAGAAAGTAAACATGGTTCTCTTTAAAAATAATAACTATTATTTTCTTCAATATCAATTATTGTTGATAAACGACGATAAATTTATGCATTTCGATGATTTAATAATAAATGATTTTGTGTTTTTAACATTAATTCGAATTTAGGTTAAAATTCATTTCTACGTTTATCATCGTTTATTTTAAATTAATAAATCAATATATTGATATGATTTTAAAACGATAATATGATATTGTTGACCATAACATTAAATATATAATCTTGTTATTGTTTATTTGAATTCATATGTAAATTATATAACAATGTATCTGTTAACCAACTTATTGATTGTTGATTATTTTCTAATAAAAATAAACGAATAAAATCTTCCAATAATGTTATTTGATATTATTTTAGAAAATTGTTATGCAATAGAACATATTCATATATCATCAATTCAATCAAAATCAAGACGTTGACGAACCATATACTACTCATGTCGTTCAAGCTGCTCGAAAATCCTCGGTTAACCGCGTCTCTTTTACTTAACTTTTTTGTGTCTCTGTGCATGAATATTTTTAAACTCTCAGAAAAATGTTACATTTTTCTAGACATAACGACTTCGCGTTATCGTAAGCGCACTTAAGCTCCCTGTACAAACCACATTGGCTATTGTCGGTTAGGTTTCAAGTTTGATCATTTATTAAAGATGGTACCAGAAAAAAAGCGATTAGACCGAGAAGACTTAATCAATAGGAAAAGTGTGACATCATCTGATACAATATACTGTGACAGAGTAAAATTGACTGTTTTAAATTGAAATCGATCTCTTCGAGACTGAAAATATTTATTTAATAGGTCAATTATAAGAAACTGACAACTTGAGGATTTTTCAAGTTAGATCTGAAAATGAAACTAATATAAAAGTGTTTGAAAAATAATAAGAATAGTATAGCGGTAGCGCCTCTCTTGTTTTGGAAGGAGGAGTGGAAGGTGATGCATCCAATACGTGTGTCATATTTCCCAGAATAGAAATCACCAGTATAGTAGCTAGTGGCGTAACCAGGATTTTTCAGTATGCTAGATCTCAGCTTCAGAGCATGGGTCCCATATGAAACTTATAGAAATATGATATTGGACCCAAATGATGAGTTTTCGTCGGAAAAAATTTGTAACTGGAGTTTGCGAAAAAAATTAGCATTTTCCTGAGCCATCCCAGAGCCTTTTCTTTCCTTCTCGTACTATTTTGTTTTTCAGAATTTCAGAGGAAGCTACACCGAAATTCATCGACAGATTTCAAATTTCATCTAAAAATATGCATCCGTGTAGGACTTACAACGTTTTAAATTTTAGCTGAAATTTTAGCAGCGTGTAATATAAATTCAAAACATTATAACTCCTTCACAGATGCATATTTTTGGATGAAATTTGAAATCTGTCGATGAATTTCGATGTAGCTTCCTCTGAAATTCTGAAAAACAAAATAGTACGAGAAGGAAAGAAAAGGCTCTGGGATAGCTCAGGAAAATGCTAACTTTTTTCGCAAACTCCAATTACAAATGTTTTTCGACAAAAACTCATCATTTGGATCCAATATCATATTTTTATAAGTTTCATATGGGACCCATGCTCTGAAGCTGAGATCCAGCATACTGAAAAATCCTGGTTACGCCACTAATAGTAGCTAATCGTGGAAGTAGAACATTTATTTTTCTCTTATACTGGTAAGGATAGTGGAGAGTGCTGATACTCTATTGACATCGTGTAGTTTTGATTACACGATGCAACTATTCAAGGAGCCACCTTTGACTGCCTCTGAAAACAAGAGGGATGCTAGTCTTCTGACAAGCTGCTACTAGGATGGTAGGATATCATATCTCTATGCTTCATTTAGTAGAAACGAACACGAAATTGAAATATTGATGTACGAACGATACCAGAGAACGTCACAGAACGGTTTTCTTCGTCCTGCCATACGTTCCACACGGCAAAGAACCCTTCTACCTTCGGCCTGCAGGACTCGAATATTATTGTTCAGGTCCTACATCCTAGAAAAAGATTATTCTGTTCATGCATATGCAGAACTAGTGTAGAAGAAGAAAAAGGTTATCTTTAGGACACCTATCCTATGAGTTTCTCTTTATGGTTGACAATTGAATTACATAAAAAATATACCATTAAATAGAAGAAATCTTTTTCTAGAAACATCATGTTTTCTGAGGTGAAAATTTGTAGTCGCCTTATATGTATTATGAAGAAGGAATTTCTGCTAAGAATTGTGGATATGCTTGAAAAACATCATTTCCATGATGTTTTCTATATTATTTACAAAAAAAATGGTGATAAATCTGTTAATGATTGTTGATTAACTGGTTTAAAAAGTGTCATTATTGATATAGATGATGTTTGTGAATTAGTTGTTGATGTTGTTCTACCACTTGGTGATAAAATCATTTGTTGATTTAATAAATATTTCTAAACAATAATTAAGAATATTTTATTGATCTAATTGTTTATCTGTTGTTAATGATAAATGTAAATATTGTTGACGTTGATTATGACGTAGTTTAAGCATAAATGAAAGATAGAGAGTAAATAATCTTAATAAGATAAATTCTATTTCATATTGATATTATTTAAAAATGTCATTTGTCTTAATAAACGTTTTAAATATATAATCAACAAATTGTTGATTATCATTCAAAGATTTTTAATGTTAATAATAATAATAATTGTAAATAAGCTATTGAATTAAAACGATTTAATTCTCTATTATTTAATAAATATTGATCAATATTATCTAAGAATTTTTCAAGAATTAAATATTTTAAATGATATAAACGTTGTTGATATATACTAGAATCAATTGATTCATTTATATTTTATTTTATTCTTCAATTTCAATCATTTTATGATCGTGTTGATCTTATATTATTATTATTATTTTGTTAACCACTTTGATTTGTTGTTGAACTTGATTCTGATAGATGAGCATAATCATCTTGATATAAACTCTAATTATGACAATGATCATTTTCTATATTTGTTGATTGTTGATTAATATTATCTCTATTAACCATTAATTCCATCATTTGATTTATTTCAAGTTTATTTTCTATTGTTGATCGTGTTTCATCATCATTATCAACATATTCAATTGTTTGTTGTTGGTGGTTGTGGTGGTGATGAAATTTGATCAGAATTTTCTGACATAGTTAATGCAAGTGCATTTTGTAAGATAGGATTTTCATGGAGAACAATTGGATTTGTTATTGTTGTTGTTGGTTCTGTTGATGGGATATTTGTCCGAGGTGGACGAATTTCTTGTTCACTTGTATAAATTTGTGGTGATTATGTTAATCAATGAAATTGTTTATTTGTTGTATCGTTGTTGATTTAAATCATTTAGCTGTTGATAATATTGATATAAAACGTTGAATGTATGGTTGGATAGAACGATTTAATGGATATTTAATTATAAAATAAATATGATAATAATTATATATAAGAATAAATAATAAAATAGATAGATATTTATCATTGATTTAATGCTAATCAATTATATATATAAACAACAAGTATATGAACAACGTTTTTTAATTTGTTTTAAATAAATTCTTTTATTATAAATTGATTAAACTTATGGATTTGTTGGATGTTGATTTAATAAATAAAGAAAATAAATTTATTAAATATGGAATAAATATTTCCATTGATGATCATTTTTATATAAGATATTTTCATTCATTTTCTATTATATTTAAATATCGATTTATATTATGTGGACGAGGACATATTATTGATAATAATGATAATAATAAATATTCATATGAATCTATATCATTAAATAATGAAGAAATAATTTATTGATGAAATTAATTGAGATAGAAATGTTAATTCTAAACGATCAATATCTTCATTATAATAAAAATCTGTTGATCATATTCAAGAAATAAATTCTTTTTATAAACGACATCAATATTGTTCTATTTGTGGTCTTAATCACATATGAAACATATGAGAAGTATATTGAACAATATCAGAATTTTATTTTCAACGATTTTATTCATCTAGATTATTATGTAAAGATAATCAACCAGTTAATACTTCCATACATTTCATTTTAATACAGATATTTAGGTTCACCTTATTGAATTGATTATCAACATCAAATTTTAAACTCGATTAGTGCCGATTTTCACGGAAAAAAAAAACTCAAAATCAATTTCGAGAATATCTTTTATCGATTGGTAACATTTAATTCGAGATTTTCTATAAGGAACTAACGCAAGAACTATCCAAGGTGATACCTCGCGTCTGAGATGAAACGCCAGTAGGGAGCACCGGGTTCGGGTCGATATGTTTTATTTTTTATTGGATCCGCAACTCTCCAGATGAGAAATCCATCAACAAGATATAACTCAACGTTGAGTTTGTTTTTTGAGAGTAGCGAATAAATAGATAAAAACTTGATCCTTCACTTGCTCCTGTACACGAAGGGCGCCAGATATTGGTGGAAAAAAACCTTAAGTTTGGACTGGCTCGGATCCTGATCGAAATTTTTAATATTTTTCGGGTTCAGATCCAAGTCCACAAAAACGTTGGTCAAAAAACAAGTGCGTAAACTTCAAACTTGGAGCTCACTTACGCATCTACCTGTTACAATCAAATCCAGCCCATGTTTTCTCATTTTTAGCAGTGAGACTCCTTCGACTGAAATCCTAGGTGGAGAGTTATATGCGATCTTGGATAGGTGCGTTACCTGAGATACTCGAAGCATCACTTGGGATGCTATAGATATCATCTGGAATGATACCAGTTATGCATGCAATGGGTCTACCATTCTAGATTATGCCTGTAGCATCTTAGGTAATACTGCTGATATCCTATGTGATGCTTCAAGCATCCCAGGTAATGTACCTATGCAACATCACATATTACTCTTCATCTAGGGTTCCAGTCGAAGGGAATCTCACTGCTATATGTCAGAAACAAATGGACTGGATTGGATTGGTAAAATGGATTGTTTCATATGTTCTGCCCTTTTGGAGTCATGGCCGTGTTACACTGAACTTTTTACCTTTGGTACAGTATTTATAAAAAAAATCGAACAAGCGAATTCTGGTCTAAAACTTTGTCTATAGATAGCTCTTGAAGTTATTAGAATGTTCTAAAAGTTTTAGCTAAAAAATAAAGGTCACTTCTCGATATATAAATTCAGAAGTAAATTAGATTCTCTGTCGTTTTGATGGATTTGATAAGTAGAGAAGAGATGACTCTTTTTGGCTAAAATTCACTTGTCCGATGTTTTTATAAATATCGTGCTAAAGGTAAAAAATCCAGTGTAGCAGTCAGAACTCTAAAATAACGGCGCATGGAAAAGAATCCTTCTAGGTTTCTTCTAGACTCTACAGATCCTTACTGGGTTTTAATTTCAAACGGGAGTTATCATCTCGGATGATTCCCTCGTCAGTAACGAAAAGAAATTAAAAAAGCGATGCAGAAATTATTTTATCGTCTCAAAACAAATTCTTTTGACGTATGAATAAGAGTCACAGGTGTTAATAGAAAAGCTTTGTTCGGTTTTCATCAATCAGTTAATAGGCTGAAGGTGAATATCTATGTTAAAATAAAAGATAAAAGGTACTCAAATTTAACATAATTCACATCTTAATCTAAAACGCATTACGAACCTATCAGGTAAAGGTAATCTTGCTAATTCTTTTTCATAATTTGTTTCACTAAATCAATGTAAATATTGATTAATTGTATTTGTTTTTGTTGGCATTGTTGTTGTTCGTGCAATAAATATATTAAATGTTTATTTCAGCTTGAATTGATTGTTGACGTGTTAAACATAAATGATAGGAAGGTAGTCCTTGGAAATTGTTAACTTGTATTATACGTCGAAATAATTGAAAATATTCTGGTCATTTATCCATTGAATATAAACCAATATGTATTTGTGCATCTGTCATTATTTCATTATCTGGATCGTTTATTAATAAGTTCAAGTGTAAAACCATCTGTACGAACATTTGCAACAAACATTCGTGGAGTTGATAAACTAGATTTAAGTTGTGGAAGATTATAAACATGAAGTAAATCAAGTCCACCAAATTTATATTCAGTTAATAATTGAGATGATTCAAAAAAATCCAGAGGATATTTAATTAAACCATTTATTGATTCATTTGTTGGAGTAGTTGTTGTTGATCATTTGTTTGATTATCTGATAATCTATATTGATAATTAATATTATCATAATAAAAATATTGATCATTTAAATCTAAATCAATTAGACGGAAAATATTTCGTTTTTTTTATATTATTTATATAATCAATTATTCGTTTTATCTGATTGAGCTAATTAAATTTTAAAACTATCATAATCAGCTAATTATATAAATGTTGTTCGTTGTTCATATCGAATAGGAAGAATATCTTGAATTTTAGTTGGTTTTATTTCATTTACACCTACATTTGATAGTGTTATCATTAATAGAGTAGGATTATTTGTCATTTGTCTCATTCTATAAATAAAAGCAGGATGATGAGCAATTTCTGATCATGAACATAATCTATGATATGTTCATGTTGATGTTGTTGGACTCATTTTAACATGAATAAAACCATAAAAATTTATTCGATGAACATATGACTAAAATAAAAGTTTTAATGTTGAAGAAAACTAAATAGATAGACGACCATCAAGTAAAATCCCATTATAATTTGTTTCACAAATTGTTTCATGTTTTATATCGAGTGCATTTGTTACATAAAATGAACCATTAGGAGCTAATGATGATTGATAGAATTATTCATAATATATATAACCATTTGAACCCATTATTAAACTATAACAATATTCAATATTAAAACGTTTTCTATAATAAAATGTAGAATCACGTAATTTACCTAAAGAGAAAAAATCTAAAAAAAAGAATGAAATTAGTATTACATTTAAAGATAGATTTCAGAATAAAAAAGTAGTCGAATATAAATAGTTCGGTTTGTTATATGGGAGTCGAAAGAAGATGAAATATGATCTAAGATTTAACGAAAGAAGTTTCTCAACTAAGAAGGTGCGAGTCCACTATTTTGCAGGTCCGAATCCGAACAAAGTTTTAAATTTGTGCTCGTATCTGACCTGAACTCGAAAAAAAACTAAAAATTGGGACTCGGACCCTCTCGGATCCAAAGCCAAGCTTTTTTTTTCCATCAATAGCTAACACCCGTTCGTTTACATGAACAAGTAAAGGATCAAGGCTTCAATTATTTATTCACTACTCTCAGAAAAAAAAACTTAATGTGCAGTTATATCTTGTTGCTGTATGTCTTATCTGGGGAGCAGAGGATCCACAAAAATGTTGAACCAGGCTTAACAAAAAATAAAAGGCTGGAGCCAGATCGCAAAAAAAAAATTAAATTATGGACACGAATCCGACCCGATGGGTCCGAGTCTGGAATGATTCATAGTTCTCTATCCTCAACTGATAATATGATGTCTTCTCTACGGGTATTCCAGAAAACTCAATTAAGTACCAGCAGAGAAGATATTCCACCAACATAAGCGACCATGTCCGCATCCAATATGTTATATGCTAGTAGTTAATTGAGTTTTCGAGAAAATCTTGGAAATCCATCTAATCCAACTGATTAATCATTTTGAAGTTTGGGTGATGTATATTATGTATACTCTAATCAGTTATGAAAACAGTTGGGACTCATAGGTAAGGTATTGTATTTGTTAAAGTCAATGACATAATGTCTATCAAGAATACTAGGAAAATGGATTTTCGAATTTCGACTTGAAATTTTCTATAGAGACAAACATTTTAATGAGAATAGTTTATTGGAAAAATTTCAGATTTTTTTGATTTTCTCCTTTCCTGAAATAAGAACATGAAACATATCGGTGTATATTAATAGTATAAAAGACAATCTTTTATCATAGTTATATATTAGAATAGGAACAATGAAATGATATCAATCATTCAATTCTCTCTCTATGGAAACGTTTCAAGTTGAAATTGGAAAATCAGTTTTCCTTGTGTTCTCAAGGAAAGATCACGCATTAGGATCTAATCAGTTGGGAGGCTTTTCTCCTACGAGTTTTTATCAATTAATGGTCAATCCAAATGACAGACTGCAAGTTTGAGTATGGATGACATATTTTCATACTGAAAGTTAATAATAGTGCTCATGCACTTTTCGAAAATAAACTAAAGATTGAGATAATAGATAGTAATGAAAATTATGCTAATCAAAATCGATTTTCATAAAGTTAGACTAATGGTTTGATCAGTCGGATCACAAAATACAACTGAAACCTTTTCTTGTTTTTATTATAAATTCTTCGACTATTTTATGAAACACAATCTAAAATGAGTGTAGAAGTGTATAGGGGTGAGAGTTTGTGACCGCCTTCCTTTCTCCACAGACGAGCCCGAGAGATGATCACGAGAGCCCATCGAGTCCTACCCAAACTCGAATTCGACCGAGTCGAAAAATACTTGAATAAGATGGGCTCTAACCACCATAGACCATGATAGATGGCCTCGATAGATCATCACAGACTGCGAGAGACATTTTTGATATATGATTAGTGATCATATTTGACAATCATCTCATGATCATATATCAATTGATTCCTTTTTGCAATTCCAAAGAGGATTAAAGTAAAAGATGATGAAAAAAACATGGGTCTCAAGATAGATCGAATAAAAGAATATTTTCGGCGATTAATAATAACAGCTTCAACGTGTTTGACATATTAATCTCATCGATATTTCACTAACCGCTTTTTCATAGACTCTCGTATTTGTTGAGTTGAGTAATTATTTTATTATTGATAATCATTGATTGTTTAATAACCTGTTGGAAGAATAAAATAATAAATCGGACTAATTCTATCAATAGTTAAATCATAAATTAAAATAAAATCATCTGTTAATAATGGAATGTTGTGGTTGATTTTAATCTGATAAGGATTCTGCTCGTATAATATAATTGTCCAGTTGAATATAAATTTGGTTGAATAATTCTAGTTGCTTCTATTGATCGTCCATTATTATAAATATTTAATAAATGAGAATCGTTTTAAATCTGTTATAGATAACTAATGACTATTTAATTGATTTGGTTGCATTGATTATATTCTAAATGGTAGATTATTTAATAAAATAATCATTTTTAATTATTGTTGTTTAATGAATGTTAATCGTAATATAGTTCTAATTGATTGTTTATCTTTTTCTTGACTTGAAATAAAATATTGTTGTTGTTTGTTGAGGATTTAATGATGATATAATAGAGATATATTGACGACGAATTGAATTTCTACGAAGTAATTATTTTATTTGTCGTTCGTGTTCATTTCTATATGATAATTTAACATGTTCAAATGCATTTTCTTGTCAATGTAATATATCAGTAAATAATTGTTGTTGTTATTTATTTTCATAATTTTGAATAGATAATAATTGATTATTTGTTTTTAAATATTCTTATATAAAATAAAATGTTATTTTCAATATTCAATATTTGTTGATATTGATAATCAATAAATAGTTTAAGTAATTTAAATAAACGAATTCTATTATATTTTCTATAGATAAATTCTAATCTTGTTCTTTAGTATTCATTTCTAGAATTAAACGACATTGACGATTTGTTAATTTACCTTTTTTATTTGATAACGATCATATTGGTTGAATAATTGTTGTTGTAATTGGACATTTAACTAATGGTTGACATCAACCATCTTCTTTAGTAGCACAAACACAAAAAATGAATCATATTTTGTATATTATATACGATCATCTTTATGAGAAACATTAACAGATATTTGACATAAACCAAGTCGATCAATAATTAAACATCTATGATAATGATACCAATGTTGATTAGGATATTCTTTTTTTGTTGTTCTATATCTAGATTATTTATTTCGATCATATTCAGATTGAATTGTTTATGAAAGAAGAGTTTTTTGTTTTTCTGATAAATATTTCTATCGTTGATAATCACCTGATTCATCAAGTTTTAATGGAGATTTAAAATATGTTGAATCATTTATTGTTGATAAATGTTTTAAATCTATTAAAATATAATTTATATTTACAAGTAAATAAAGACTTGCTTATAGAATATTCTAATGAAAAAGTTAAAAAGATTCAATCGATGAAGATAGAACTGATGATAAGAATGATGATCATCATGTAGAACTAAAACAGAGAAAAAAAATATTAACAATTGAGAAAAACAATGAAAAATTTTCATATGTTCAGAAATAATGAAGATACATAATAGAATATAATATGATGTGCAACAGAAAGGAATTGAGTCACATCCTAACATAAACGAAATATAGTAGAAACCAGTTCATCAAGTTTTTACTTAAGTTATTTATCAGATATCTGATTTTTAATTATTCGAGTTAATTAAACAAAATCTAAACGACCGAAATGTTGCATTATGCTGTAAACAAGTTGATCAATTCTTTAAATAAATAAGAATATTAAAAAAAAGAAACGTTCGATAAATCTATTCATCGAAAGCAATTCAATATGAATAATTAGGAGGATTATTTCAAACACTTAATCATATAAAGACTTGACGAACTTGTGCCTGGATTTATTTTTTGTTCTACCGACTAGAGCCCGTTGCGTGTTCGGATCCAAAAATGTTAGACTCGATGGGGTTTAATCGTTTGAGAAATGCGCTGAATATGCAACTCACCGAACAGAAAAAAGTATTTCATATCTTCAAGATGATTATCCAAATTCGATTGGAAGATCTCATTCAGAGTATCAAAGTACGGGTTCGATCGGGTTCTACAAGCGACACTAATTTTTGCATACTCTCTAATATATATAGATGACTAGACATTACGGAAGCCAAGAAAAAAAACACGAGAGAATGAAGAACAAAGAGAATACATATCGAAGACAAAGTCTGATCTAATATTACTATTAGATCTTGTTGAAATGTTTATTATTATAAGATTAGGTGAAGAATGATTAAATATGAGAGAAATATAGAATATTCTTTTTCATATCAGGTCATATAGGTAAGAAACGTTTTCTGAAAAGTATCTACTCCTTTACGAGCTTTCTCGAGAATGGCGCATCAGAAATATTTGCCTTACAATGGAGATGTTTCTGTTGCAGTTATAAAAAGATTAGACATCTTCGGATTAAATAAAAAAAAACGAAACTTTAACAAAGACATTCAAGATAACATCACTTTTATGTCAACACTGTTCTTGAGAAATTTTTAATTATTTCAGATCTACTATCGACCTGTATTACGGCTTATTAGCCGGAGTCCAGCCTACCTAAGTCTATCCGGTAACAAACCCTAAATACTTCGTTGTACTTCTGAAATTTGAGCATCAGTCAATTGCAATGAAGTATTCAGGCTTTTGTTGTTCGATAGACGTTATATAGGTTGGATTAAATCGTAAAAGAGGTCGATAGGAGATCTTAAATAACTAAAAATTTCTCAAGAACAGTATTGACATAAAAGCGATGTTATCTTGAATGTCTTTCTTAAAGTTTCTTGTTTTTTATTTGAAAACGATGTTTTCTTATGTATCTTGATGAGCTCTGTCCAACCATGACGGAAAAAAGAAGAAAAAACTGCAAGCAGCTTACATATACTGTAAACGTCTTTAAATCGAATATGTGAGTTTGTGCACTTCAACAACAGCCGATATTTTTAACTTAGTAATTTTTCGGTGAAAATTTTAACTTAACCCGAATATATCTAATCTTTTTTTAACTGCAATATAAATATTTCCATTGTTAGACTGACAATTGTCAAGTGCTTTCTTATAGAGGATATCGACGTCGGAGAGGCTAAAAAGCGCTCCTCTAATCACACCCCGGCTTCTTAGCCGCAACACGTCTTATCGAACTGAAACGTTTTTCTAACATATCCTAGACACTATTTGACGTATCAACGTTTTTTGGTTTCCGTTTTATCTTGTTTCATTCGAATAAAAAGACTCAAATATCGAGTGTTGCTCTTCTAAACTCACCAGAGTAATATTGTTGAAAATAAAAAAAGGAGGGCCGTACCTCTTTTGTGTAAAAATCAATTTCGAGAAAAATAAAAAAGAAAATTTGTCGTATGTATTCGGACTTTTTTCTCTAAATTAATCTAGCCGCGTTTCAGTGGCATTAGGATTCCATGAGCAATGTTTTAAGCATCGTTTAGAATGAAAAATAATTATCATCATTAGGAGAATTTTGTTATAGAATAGAAAATTAATAAACATTACTAACTAACAATGAAGATCTCTCAATTTCACAGAGAAGACATTAGGACTATATTAGTGATGAAAAATGAAAAATAGTTTGTGTCCAAGGAAATAGCTGGACGGTTGAAATAAAAATATATGTCGATTAGCTGAACGATGTTCAGCTAAAATAATTAATAATTCTATAATGTTGTCAAAAACCTAATAGATATTTATTTAGCTTTAATAATTGATTTCCTAATTGTATTAATATAGATAATATTTAGAAATAAACATTTTTCTCGAATCATATTTGTACGATCATCATTTTTTTTTAATAAAATATTTTGTAAATGTTTTCTAATATATGTTTATATTGTTCAGTTGTATATAATTGATTTTTTTCATTATTTTTTAATAAAAAAAAGTGTTTGATAACGATTGTGATAATTGTTGATTAGTTAAATAATGAATATAATTTAAATCTTTTATTAATAATTGAAATTGATTTGAATATGAAGAAAATTTTCATAAATAATATTAAGATTGTTGCAAATATAGATAAAGATAACATTTGGTATTGATGTTAAATAAAGTAAATAAAATAAATTCAATTGTAACAAACAATTTTGAAATATATTTGGTTGAAATTGTTGATCAAGAAATTGAATTAAATCATTAGAAATATCTTCATCTTATTATATTATTTCGAATATATTTATATAATTTTCTATTGTTTCTCTATTAAGATCTTTTTATTTAATTTCTTGTTTAACAAATTGTAAATTTGTATGAATTTGTATTTCAATAAATAATTGTTTATCATTGATTTGTGGATAAATTGTTAATAAAGATTTGAATAATTTGTTGAATAAATATATAATTTAAATTATTTTCTTGTTCTAATCTATAATTTAATTTATATTTAAATAATTCTTCAAAATCATTTGGTAATGTTGGAATTGTTATTTTCTTAAAGATTTTTTTGTTATAGCTATTAATAATAATGATTGAATATAATAATTTCTATTTAATGATAATTTATATAAATTATTTATTTATTCCAATGTTGAATATTTTATAAAGAATTAAATAAAATAGAGAATATGATTTTTTATTTTTAGTTTTAAACGATTCAATATTAGGAAATATTATTTATTTTCAAATAAATTCATTTTATGGTGATAAATAAGCAAGTATACGCCATAAAAGAATGTATTAGTCAATCCTTCTAAACATTATAAATAACAAAAATTTGATGCCAACAATTATTCTCACTTTTATCAAAGAATGTTTTCAACGGATCAATCGCTTTTAAATCCGGACTCAGTGCATAGAGTAGAGTCTTGTGAAATATGAAAAAAAAAATGATAAATGCTTTTAGGTTTTTGGTCGAGATTTATAAGCGTTTGTTAATGGAAGTTTAGCCTCCGACATGGTATATACCAACAAATTCAACGACGGTATTTCGACCTGAGATTTTGTTCACAGGTAGATCTATTTGTTAGTAGAATGCGTCGACACATTTCAGCTGAAAAGAATGTTTCCTTCCCGAGATATTAAAGTTCGAAAAAAGAGAAAATTCTACCATCGTTTCCTAGTGCACAAGTGACTTTTGGGCCTTAATACATCAGAAAGGAAATTGTCTTTAGAGCTGAAATTTTCAGAGGTTTCTACTGACGAAGAGATCTCTCCGTGGAAAAATCTCAGGTCGAAATCCTATCATTCGATTTATCGAAGGCTAAAATACCTATAAATCTGAAGAAAAGGTCTAAGAGGATTTATCCTTTTGAGTTTTTTTTGTTATATCTGACTGTAGTCGACCACCTCATCCATAGACTCCGAATTGAAAAGCGATTGATCTTAATTTATTTAATTGTTTGTAATTAGCTTTTGAGATGAGTGTTATCTATGAGTATTTTAATAAAATTTTCAATAAAATAGCATAGTTCACTTTTAATTATCTTGACAATCAGCTTTAAAAATAATCAAATTCTCAATGGAATTTATTCATTGTGGAAATATTTCAATTTTTCTAGTATATAAAATATTGAAATATTCTATTATGCAACAAACTAATCTACGTTCGTCATAGTTATATGTCAGAATAGGAGATGCTAAAATCTATAATGCATCGTGATTGAACTAATTTTAAAACAAAAAACAAACTCAAATGGCCACCCATGACTCAAGAAGAAACATCTGTTACTATGAATTATAATTAGACATCCTCTAATTTCAATAGAATTCATCTAATCAGCTAAGACTTATCTCAAAAGTCATTTATCATCTAACAACAATAAAAGGGAAAACAATAATTAAATGGTTAAAGAAATCTTTCGAAAAATTCTAATGTCTTCAATGCAGGATAATCTATGAGCAAAGAATTTTCGTAGAAAATAAAAAAAAACAAATCCTAATTAAGAACAATTATTTATCGGCATTAGAAATTTTCAGCATAAACTTTTTTCCATACGTTAACTGGGGAAAATTTTTTAAACCTTATCCAACCCAAGAAGACGTCTACCTTTAGGGAGTTACGGGTTCAAGTTTTCGTGGACTCGGACCCAGTTGGCTCCAAGAATTTTCGACTCGTACCCGAACTCGATGAAAAGCAACTTTGATATTTATGAAAAAAATGTCCTATACCTTTTCTTGTCATAGAAGAGCATGGTTCTTCTATTATGTTCAAACATGCAAACCTTCTAATGTAATCTTCGATTGTATCTTATTTATTTTTAGAATTTTTAATTAAAAACATTTTTTAGAAAACACAAAGATCTTCATCTCAAAACCCTGAAAACTAGGCATATTTTTCATGTAGAGATACTCATTTTTCCGATTTTGAGAGTCTTCTATTGAGGGAAGAGGTTTACCTACTATTGAATAATCATCCCGAGGATATCGGATATTTTCGTTCGTCTTTTTCTATTCGGTAACTAGCGCAAACTACGCATTCTTCATACCAATCGGGTCCAAACGTTTTTTCGAACTCGAATTCGGATCCGACGGGTTCTACCTGCCACCCATTCGTGTATATGAACAAGTAAAAGATGAAGGTTTTAGCTATTTATTCGCTACTCTCAGAAATAAAGTTCATCATAAAGTCATATATTGTTACTCTAGTTCTAATCTGGTAAGCAGCGAGTCCACAAAAATGTGTAACTGGATCCGACAAGAAATAAAAGATTGAATCCGTAGCTTCCTACTTACCCTACCCTCGTTGGAAGACTCTAAAATTGATAGATAGGAAAATAGTATTAGGTTAGAGATGTCCAGGGTTATCCTTTACATCTCTAATCAATATTCTTATATACGAATTCGAAGAGGAGATATGATAACGTGATTATATGTTTTAACCTTTAGTTATTTTTCCAAAATCTAATTGTTGAATAAGATAATTATAAAGATTTATAAATGTAAATCCATGAAGATAATTTGAATTATTTTGTTCTAATAATTTGATTAAAATTTGTTGTTGGTCTTATATCATTGTTTTGATATTAATTGTTGAATTTCATTATATATTCAAATAGAATTAATAAATAAATCTAATGTTTTTTTGTTTGAATAATTTCAAGAATTTGTAAAAGAATATTTTAACGTTGTGAAATTATTATTTGATAAAAAAAATCTAAGAAAAATT